AAAATATAAAAATTTCTACAAATTTCTATTTCAAGTCAATTTTTTGTAGTTATTTATAGAAATTTTTTCCGCTAAGGTCGCCGCTTTACAATTCAGATGCAGATTCGATATTTTTTTATTTCTATTGCAAGGGAGTAACTGCAAAGTAACGATTCGTTACTTTTCGAGTAACTGTAACTGTAACGCGTTACTTTTCAGAATTGGTAACTTGTAACTGTAACTAGTTACATTGTTAGCGAAAAAACTGTAACTGTAACTAGTTACTTTTATAAAGTAACTTTCCCAACCCTGGAAAGGGTGTTCACTCAGGTGTTGGGCCCGAGGAATCAGAGGGAGCCGTACAGCAGTGGGCACACGGTTAATCGACGCAACGAATATTTTCTGGGGCTCGGGCGTCTCCGAGGTGGCCCGCGATCGTCCGGTGGTACCGCTCAGCTGGTCAGCCGAGAGATGAAGGGTTCTGAAGAATCGCTCTGTATCACGTTCTGGTACTTTATGTTCGAGTCTTTCATCGATTCCACATCAGGACCCAGCTTAGGTAGATAAAGTTTTGCAAAAAAAGTGAACGAAAATCTATTTAATAGAATCGTATGCTTCGAATTTTGCTTTACTTTTCTCAATTTATAATTAAGGGGTAATACCACCAAAATCTAGCGATTTTAATCGCAGAATTTCTTAATTTTAGATTGTTCTACATAATATTATCTTTGTATCTAACATTATATTTTATAATAATGTATATATATAATATGTACATTTTATAAGGAAAAAGAGAGAATCTAGGAATTCAGTGCGATAAGATAAATTGTTATCGATTTTTTCCAAGACGTATGTTGGTATGGAATGCAATTTATCGACAAAATGAGAACGTTCTTAATTTTTTTAGGCGTCTTGCGACTGTACGTGCAAACAGATGGTGACAGTTCGAAAGCCAAACCTATATGGCAACTATACAACAATCAAGATCCGACATGGAGCTACGCTCAGACTAATGTCAATCAAAACACAAATTTCAATATCGTGTTCGAGGGCACGTGGGGCCCGAACAGAGCCAGTGGTAGCATAGGAATTGACGATATCTCCTTTTACACTGGAAATTGCAGTGGTGAATATTTTCTTCTTCTTCTTCTTCTTCTGAACTATCTATTGCCTTTGGGGCGTAATACTATTCTCTAGTCTTCTCATTTTATGTTGTAAACTTTTGTGAAATTTACATCTGCACACAGTGAAACCAACGAGTGCAGTCGTTCGCGCAGAGGACTGCAGTTTCGAGAAGGATTTGTGCGGATGGGAGAACATAACTGTCTCCGACAACGACCGCCCTGTGATGTGGCAGCGTGCGTTTCTGGCCCACCGACCGGCCCAATTGTTGGACAGAACCTTTGGCGCGACCGGTGATTTCGTATTCTTCGACATCTTCACGACAAATAAAGAATTGACGAAGGTTCAACTACAATCGCCCGTCGTCAACGCCTCGCCCGACGAAGAGTTCGTATGTTTCACCTTTTGGTTCGCCGCTTTCGGCGTAGAGGAGTCCACCACCCTGCGAGTGATCAAAATGCCTGCCGAAGAGACCGAAGGACAAAGTGAAGGCGAACAGGAGCAACCGGTACCAATGCTGCGTATAAAGCCGAATATAATATTTTTCATAACATTCAGAATGTCACTTTACATTCCTCGAGCTCTTTAACAGAAAAACAAATTGTTCTTACTTCCTTGCTTTCATTTCAGTATCAGATGCACTGGAGTTTTTGTTCTGGAGTACATACGGTTCACTTTGTTCTCAACTTTTCATTAAATTATTGCAGTTATGGTCACTGACAGCTAAAGGATTGAATAGTGATAAGCGGCTGGTATGGAAGCGGCGCAAGTGGCGATTGAAGCGCGAACTCCGTACCGGCTTGTTCTCGAGGGGAGCGCCAGCAATGGGGGCTTTGCCGTCGACGACATAAAATTTCAGCCTTTGACCTGCGCAAGTAAGACTAGACGAAGTAACCAAGCCATACAGTAAATGCATGCGAATGGTATTAAAAGATATCCGCTTCTTTTCTCAGCTCGATCAGTCAGTGCTCAACCGATCCAAAACGAGACCTGAGAATAACCACGTGGTAATTGCGAAACAAATAGTTTCTATTAACTGTTGTAAGTAATCATTTCTTATCGTGCATTTAACAGCCATGATTTATATATTGTATTTAACTGTACGTAAACCGAATAAATCATTTTATATAAAACAAATTATTTTAATTAAAATAAGTATAGTAATTAGTATAAGTATGCCTGAGTAAATACTTATATATTTATATAACTAAATGAATGAAATGTACAAACATAAAGAATTATTTAACGCCAGTAATTAATTAATCAATGTAAGGAAATTGCATGACGACCCATCGCTGGCAAATTCTAATTAAAGAAATTCACTGCGAAAACTATGCAAACTCTTATAGAAAACTCTTTAATGTATTATAACTGGCAAAGCCAAAAAGTTGTAACATCCTAAGTTTTATCAGGATACAGATTTTTCTACAAAAATTGTATAAATCTAATCGTCTCCTACAAATTTATGTACCAACAAATTTTATAATATACAAAACTACAAGATAAGAAAAAGTTTCAAATTTTAATCGACCTCACCTGACCGATTGGAGCTGAGGTCGATTGAAATCTGAAATTTTCTTATTCAACACTGGCAATCCGATGAAATATACCATTTATAAGATAATAGACGAGATATCACGAGTACAACGATAAATCATATATGATGATCCTGCCGAAGAAATCGTAGCTTTCGTTGAATACAAATTTAAAGACCTTGGCTCTGATCTGATTTTTCAAGTTGAATGGCTGCGGGTTGTTCTTGTTCTTCGGATAAAAAGTTTCGACAAACGCCAGCTCCTTCTTATCATTACCGGCCTCTATACGGCAATTCTTCCCAGCGAATCCACCCTGGAATTCCACCTCGAAGCTCGAGAGACCACATTCCGCCTCGAACGTAACGAGAACCCATGTGGACTTCCCTGCCACGCGTAATATTACATTATATCGCTAAATACGAAGCTGATCCGTGGGAAAACTCGATTACCTACCGCATCGGAATTCCAACACGTTTCGCTGCAGTTATCAAACATATACATCTTGCCGTAAGACTGAACGTTCCTGTTCAGCACAGAACTCACCTTGAATAAAATATCGAATCGTTATTATACCGCGAATACGAAAATTTTTTCCCGGGAGAAAGAAAGAGCATATCGTACATGTACATAATATATATCTTTTCTTGAATTAAGCTACAAAGAACGTACATAGATAACATTGAAAAAAGTCATTTTATTAGAATACTTGACTTTGCCTCCTTCAGCGCGTGCAGTCAATAGCATAATATTTAAAATCTCGCATCTGTTACAAAAAAATCTTATTTTAAGTCTTATAGTAATAAGGGAAAACGACATGCAACTTGCGATATATAAAAAGTTTATTATAATCCATTGGTAAATAAATAATGAACGCGTTTTACGGCGTACAAGGCACGCAGGTTTACATATTTATATATCTACAATATATCTATATAACTTACACAATAACAATATGTCGCAAATAAAAGCAACGTCTGGCCGGCTCCAAGCCGAGCATTATTACCGCAGAAATTGCTTTTACTTCGCTTAACGTTCGATAAAAGCCTCTCATGTGTCTTACAACGCTAAAACCTACTTTACATGCACACATCCTTCTTGCTATTAATAACGTCTCATTATTCATGTTTCTCGCAGTACACAGGTGACACTTCGAGATTGCATCACCAAGATCAATAGGAGAAAGACAACATCAATCAAAGTCTAGCACGAAAACGGTAATGAGTTAAAAATATATATGTAAAAAACCGGCAGTCTATTACAGAGTCCGTATAAATGCCCAGTTTCAATTATTTCCGGTTGGAAAAAGTTTACATGTTTTTTCCAACCAATTGCTTAATGATTAATTAGGGCGATGCAAATCGTGCAGCCGAACGGAAATAGAAATCCCATGCAGATCGATCGTCGACGATTGCCATTTAGTCGCAAAATACAGAACGCGTTTATCAAAAATTAAAAATGCAGTAAAGTAGGATCGAACAATTTTATATTGCGAGGATCCAACGACTTGAAAAACGCAAGCGTATCAAGTGCAACGTGTGAATAAGCGGGTTTAAATTTCCGAGGATTTTCAATAGAACGAAAAACCGGTAATTAAATTTCATTATTCGTCAAAGACTTTAAGATGTCCAAATCTACATATTCAAAGGTCCAAAATTAATTACGTTTCAAAACATTTACTTGTCCTAAAATCTAAACAAAAAAATTCGAAAATCGCGAAGTCGTTAATGAAGCATTTTTAAAAACGCGAACTGTATGGTATACTACTTGAACAGGATATTCGTAATGTCAACACTGTACAGCTAAACCTCTACATATTTTAAAAACAAAGCTTCCTCTATGAGGAAGCAAAATATACATATAATGTTATTCTGAGATGATATGACTAGTACCATACTCTGTTTTACCTAAGCAAAGTGTCTCTTGAAAATTTTTTACTTCTTGGTAATACTGCCCGAGCATAAAACCGCTACCTCCATTTGTCGTCCTTTCTCTCACAGGTGGAGAATGATTCGATACCGTTTTCCGGAGAGGCGGTGGCAAATCAATCAATTGATCGGTACTACCCATGATAGCGTTAGCACCCACGCGTTTTTCCGTTCGCCAGCGTTGGAACAACCATAAGATTAGACAAAAATTTGGCACAAGATGGAGGAGATTGTGGCCTTACAGACATCGCGCTATACTTAGCATAGTCAATAGCATAATATTTAAGATCTCGTATCTGTCTCTCTTATTACTATAAGACTTAATAAGATTTTTTTTAACAGCAGGTAAAGCTGTCCATGATCGACCTGGCAGGATCCAAGGGGGCCTTGGCTACCGGAGGCAAGGGTGTGAGGTTTATGGAAGGGTCCAACATCAACAAATCCCTGCTGGCTCTCGGGACTTGCATTAACAATCTCGCGGACGGCATAAAGCACATCCCGTACCGTGATTCCAAACTCACGAGGCTGCTCAAGGACTCGCTCGGCGGCAACTGCCGTACTGTCATGATAGCCAATATCGCTCCAAGCAGCTTCGCCTACGAGGATACGTACAACACCCTGAGGTACGCGAATCGCGCAAAAAAGATCAAGTCGATCCCCAAGAAAAATGTGTCTTGCGAGACGCACGTTGCCGGCTACATCAAGATAGTGGACGAGCAGAAGAAGGAGATTGATGTGTTGAAGTCAAGACTCGCGGCCTTCGAGAATGGAGCGCTCCAGCCGGCCGAGTGCAAGCCGAGCCTCGCCATGCTGGAGACGTACAGGCTGGTGGAGTTGAACAATTCGATGCCAGCGATCGGCACGGCGATACCGGGGATGGACGACGAGGATGCCTTGAACTCCATCTTGAACGCGGGTGAAAGTAGCTGTGCGAAAAACCTCTCCAGGAAGCGCGTATTCGACAAGAACAGCGAAGGCGGCAGTACATCCTCCAAGCAGACGAAGAAACTGGTGCACAAGGAGAACGAACAGAGGCCTGTACAAATGAGTGCAAAAAGTACCGCCACTCTGAATAATCTGAAGAGCGACGCATCCAATGTTTTCTCACTTCCCTGGGACAATATAGTAATAAGAGAGACAGATACGAGATCTTAAATATTATGCTATTGACTATGCTAAGTATAGCGCGATGTCTGTAAGGCCACAATCTTCTCCATCTTGTGTCCAGGTGCCAAATTTTTGTCTAATCTTACCGTAGAAATCTCGTAGACGGTGAAGCTGGTACGGATCTAGAAAATAGAAACGATATCTCATAAAGTCAGGCAGGATTTATAGCGAATTCGGTTGCTCGCACTAGTGAGTACATGTTAAGGCATCGTTACGTTGCAGTTACTCTCTTGCAAAGAAAATAAAAATACCAAACAGGTTAAGTAAGTCTTATTGTCGCCAGTGATGATTCAAGGCTTATTAAAAAATATCAAATCTGCATTTGAATTGTTAAGTGTCGATATAAAGGTTTACGCGCAAATACAAGGCCTGATGCAATCTGTGGAGGTTTAAAAAAATATATAAATTAACTGTTAATGTAACTATGAGTTAAGTTACAGTTACAGAGGGGTATATTAGATACTCTAAAGAGGTATTTAAGACAAAGTTAAAAATTGGGTGTAAAGAAGCGTTGGTGTGCGCTCAGTGCGCAAGCAACCGAATTGACTGTTAGGCCGCACCAAATATTGTTTGTATACAAATAATACCTACTTTTTCCCAACGGTCGGCTCATAATACGGATGGGTTGTTATTAGACCGCGTCTCTCCTTGTTGCGTTTTTTCTCAAGCGCCGCGCATGAACAGAGACTGAGAGGAGACCGTGATTTCTCCTCGGAATTGTGCCAGGGAAGTGAGAAAACATTGGATGCGTCGCTCTTCAGATTATTCAGAGTGGCGGTACTTTTTGCACTCATTTGTACAGGCCTTCGTTCTCCTTGTGCACCAGTTTCTTCGTCTGCTTGGAGGAAGTACTGCCGCCTTCGCTGTTCTTGTCGAATACGCGCTTCCTGGAGAGGTTTTTCGCACAGCTACTTTCACCCGCGTTCAAGATGGAGTTCAAGGCATCCTCGTCGTCCATCCCCGGTATCGCCGTGCCGATTGCTGGCATCGAATTGTTCAACTCCACCAGCCTGTACGTCTCCAGCATGGCGAGGCTCGGCTTGCACTCGGCCGGCTGGAGCGCTCCATTCTCGAAGGCCGCGAGTCTTGACTTCAACACATCAATCTCCTTCTTCTGCTCGTCCACTATCTTGATGTAGCCGGCAACGTGCGTCTCGCAAGACACATTCTTCTTGGGGATCGACTTGATCTTTTTTGCGCGATTCGCATACCTCAGGGTGTTGTACGTATCCTCGTAGGCGAAGCTGCTTGGAGCGATATTGGCTATCATGACGGTACGGCAGTTGCCGCCGAGCGAGTCCTTGAGCAGCCTCGTGAGTTTGGAATCACGGTACGGGATGTGCTTTATGCCGTCCGCGAGATTGTTAATGCAATTCCCGAGAGCCAGCAGGGACTTGTTGATGTTTGCGCCCTCCTTAAACCTCGCGCCCTTGCATCCGGTAGCCGAGGCCCTCTCGGATCCCACCAGGTCGATCATGGACAGCTTGACCCGCTGCACCTGACCGTCCAGCTTGTTAGTCATCATGATGTATACCTGGAAAATCGCGTGGCTCCTGCTGCTCTCCTTATTGGCGTCCGTTGGATGTTGAGTGCGATTCTTGTTACCCTCCGCCAGCAGCGAGAGCAACTCCTCAGCATTCTGGATGGCGATCGGCTCTAGACCGGCGACCACCACTCCGCCCCTACCGTCCTCCCTCAGATGCAGAGGGTCGGTCTTGTGCAGCAGGTTCTGCACGTTCTCGTTGTATATTTCCAGGTAGGACACGCCCAGATTGAACTTCCGGTGCTGGCTCTGCATGGTTCTCTATCTCGGCGAACAGCTGCGCCATGGTGCGGTACGTGATGCCGAGGTCCTCCCTGCTGCCCAGCATCGTGTGAGTTTTGCCGGCGCCGGTGGCACCGTACGCGAACACGGAGCAGTTGTAGCCGTCGAGGAGGCTGCTGATCACACTCTTGGTGCTTCCCTCGAATACGTCGGCGTTGCTGGACGCCAGGTCGAACACCTGGTCGAAGATAAACGGCAGCTGCTTGTTCTGCCTCTTCAACATGTCCCTGCCCTTCTGCGGCACGTTGCGGAAGAAGAAGGGCGTCTCGTGCTCCTTCGGGTCGAAGATGAGCATCTTGTCGTCCACGACCTCGATGACCGTTCGGCAGTTGTCCTGTAACTCGCGCTCGTTAGGCGGACGCACTCGCACGATTACCTGTATCTTAACTCGGTTTTCCTTAAGGCTGATTTATGATGGCTGTAACTGTTAACTTATGCCAGAACCGGTAAAGTTCGATACTGGGATTTCAATGCTTACGTTCATAATGGGTTTCTGAACGAAAGCATTGAAATCCCAGTATCGAACTTTACCGGTTCTGGCATAAGTTAACAGTTACGGCCATCATAAATCAGCCTTTATGCCCGGCTTCGCCGAGCCGCGCGACACGCGTTTCCTCGCTTTGCTAGGCGACGACTTAAGGCTGACTTATGATGGCCGTAACTGTTAACTTATGCCAGAACCGGTAAAGTTCGATACTGGGATTTCAATGCTTTCGTTCAGAAACCCATTATGAACGAAAGCATTGAAATCCCAGTATCGAACTTTACCGGTTCTGGCATAAGTTAACACTTACGGCCATCATAAATCAGCCTTTACTACGGCGAGAATAAGAAAACCGCCTTTTGTACATTTTTGCTCGCTACGCGGGGAGTAACTGATCTCCAGTTTCAGATCGCGAAACCGATCGCACGATCGACGTGGGAGAACTAACGAAACGCTCTCGTCGCTGCAATAACGTTCGCGATCGGGGGAGCCGTTTGGCGGGGCTTGGCGTAACGTTGAGTTTTGAATTTTAATGTCTGAACGCGAATGAGAGCGTAGAAGGCGGCAGGCAACGGTGGGGCATCATCCAATAGCAAGAGGTGGAGCGGCGCGCCGAAAAAAGTTGTCACGCAGCGAGCGGCAAGGTCCAGTATACACTCCCCGCTCGCCCCTCACCGCTCGTCCCTCGCCATGCGACGTTCGCTACTCGACGTTCGGCTCTCGCTACTTGCCCCTCACCCCTCATCCTTTACATGTGGTTATCATGAAGCAATATGATTATAATTGCAGGTTGCTTAAAGCGTAATTGCTGATGCATTTCCTCCATCTGAGAACAGTATTTTCCGGCATTAATGATTTTACCAGTACCGGGATTCTGTAACTTGCTATCGATGTTTTTCGGTATCGAAATTAACTAGCGACAGCAAAGATGTTAAAAACACAGCTTTCATAGGTTGGTTAACGATATCGAAAACCATCGATAGCAAGTCACAGAATCGCCGTACAGGTTTCAAGAACGAATAATTAATAATGCCAGCTCAACAGACGTGGAGTTATTACTGTTTCATGATAACGTTCGACCATATCCCAGTGAGAAATGATTCGTCGATCGACATCGAAATGATGTCGAATCGACGTCAATTCGACGGTGTCGATGTCGATTCGATGTCGTTTCGACGTCGATCGACGAATCATTTCTCACTGGGATGTTTCAAGAACAACAGTTTAGAAATCTAGAAATTATACGAGAGTTGCAGTATGAAACTCTTTCTATTTGCTCGTTTACAAGTTACTAATTATTTTATATTGCTATTTTAACATAGGGTCTTACGGGAACTGAGACAAATAATAAAACATTCAAAAACTATTAAAAACTAATGCTAAAAATTATAGTTTTTGTAGTTACATGTTTTTCAAACATGTAAAAGTTATCTGCGAAGTTTTAAAACGATTTGTTTGCTCGTTTTGCAACTATTATTAAGAAAGCGCAATGATCATCAATTGAAGCGATATCGACGACGGAACGTGATAACGCCGCATCCAGACTTAATCTTTCAAGCAAAAAAATGTTTACATTTTCATTAAACTCAAATTCTATTCACAATAAACAATACTTTAAAATATGATTTTATTAATTTCTTGTAATTATGTATCGATCAGAATGCTCTGTTCAATTTTAATTTTCTAGGAACATCAGAAAATTATATGCATATTGCTTCATGGTAACTCTCGACCACATGTAAAGGACGAGGGGTGAGGGGCAAGGGGCGAGAGCCGAGCGTCGAGCGGCGAACGACACAGGGCGAGGGGCGAGCGGGGAGTGTATACTAAAGCTTGCCGCTCGCTGCGTGACAACTTTTTTCGGCGCGCCGCTCCACCTCTCGCTTTTGGATGATGCCCTCAGACATTAAAATTAATTTCTCGAAAACTACTGCGAATGTTGCAAAATGGTAAAGTTTTCTATTCAGTTTGCCCCGGTCTATTTGCCATCTACGGGACATACGGGTATTAGGACACACCCTGTATTTGTAACATTAAATGCTAAATACTCTATCACGTTTCGCATTCTTTGATTATATCGTATGAAATACAGACCTAAAATAAAGTTTCACGAGGATAGGTTTCAGGAATAATTTGAAAAATGTAAAAAGACGAACTCACAAGCTGCAAATGTGGATTTCAATGATTTCAGGATACAGGACGTGAGAATTGAACAAACTGAAAAAAAAGCAGTTGAGAAACTGTGCTAATCGTCTTTTTGAGTAATTAAATTTTTTATTACTTTTGAGGCTTAGAAATGGAATATCCAGGAGGTAAAAATCAACATTTTCGACACCTGCTCTTCTTCGCTTTTCATCGAGGCCAAAAAGCTGCTGAAGCAGCCCGGGACATTTGCAACGTATACGGAGAAGGTGTCATAGGCGAGTCTACAGCACGGAAATGGTTTGCAAAGTTCAAAAATGGCGATTTTGACGTCGACGACACGCCCC